GTTTATGATGCCCAGATCTCCTTTCACTTTAGGTCTGCACATTGACTTCTAGTTAACAAGAACTTTGTCTTTGGCAAAAGATGCAGAAATTACGTCTAATTTTATCAATTTTTTTTATGAGCCAGAGGAGAAGCTAGTTTAAAGAAGGAGAGGAAGTAGAGAGGAGTAGAAGTTAAAATAGAGTTCAAGTCTCATTAGCCATGAATTTTATAAAAATTAAAACCGTTGCGTGTATCTTAGAGTTTTCGTGTAATAATTAGTAATAATTAGTGAATTTAAGGTTTCTCTTGGTTTGGATAAATCCCTAGGGGGGGGGGGTTAGTCACCTAGAACTTTTTAAGTAGAACTGGGATAATTGGTAAAGTGGGATAATTTTTTAACACTGAGATAATTTAGTAGAACAATGATGGGTAATTCTTAAAGTGGGATAATTTGGTAGGATAATTTGGTGGGATAATGATGGATAATATTATGAAGTTGCATAATTTGGTAGGATAATTTGGTGGGGGTAATGGTGGGTATAAATTACTATTGTTAATAATTGTATATTAAAAATAATATAATATTGATAAGCAAATTCTAGTAATAACTATAAACTATAATGCAATAAAGCATCACTATTCATCTCAAATAATAAAATAATTTACAAATAAATAAAAATCTAAATCCCTAGAGTGACTCGACTTCCATCATCACACATGGCTTCTATCATCCCACATGGCATTTGCCATAGAATTTCTCTAAGCTCCTACAGCTGCTCGTTGAGTCTGTAACTCGTCTTCTTTATCGGAGTCATCGTCTGCATCAGCAACATTTCGTGGAGCTTCTAGTGGAGGATCATAAATGTCGAAGTTCAAATCTCATAACATCATAAAGAAAGAAAAATAAGCATTTTTCAGCCATTAACCCTTTGGACCAATCTCATCATGAACGCTGAAACCAAATCAGCAAATAAATAAAATGTACACAGGAATCATCCATGGCCGCTAAACAGATGATCGACAAATGAACTATAAATATCCCAATCAATTTACTAAGCCGATTTAATAATAATAGATATCACCATTAACCATTCAACATCTAATCATCAATGTGATCGCAAAGTTGCTTTCTAACTTATAGAAAAAACATAAATAGCCCGCATATCTTTAGCACTAACCCACCAACACTATATTCTTAACCTAAACCACTGTTGTGGAGAGAAAACTTAGATCAAACAAATAATAATAAAGTAATTTAACGTCAAAAAGCTATCAATAAAGTAATACATCTTGAAGATAATAATAAAAGATCTAATCATCACAAAAATAAAGTAAAGACAGAAAAATGAACGGATGATTGACTTCATGGCAGAGAAATTTTCTAGGCGGAGAAACTAACCAAGAGGGAGGGAGGCGGCGTTTCACTTTTTTTTTTCTAATTGTATTCTTTCCAATGTGTGGGATAATTTGAGAGAGGAGAACTTATGGTTATATATATAGGTAGTATAATTTGTGGGATAATTATGACCAATTATCCCAATTCTAATTCTAGTAGAATTCTACTTGACTAACGCACCAAAAAAATAATACAGTTCTAGTTCTACAAAAGTTCTACTTGACTAACACTATAAAAAAATATCCCATTTCCTAGTTCTATATGACTAACACCTTAAAAATTTATCTCACAAATTATCCCAGTTCCAGTTTTAAGTTCTAGATGACTAACCCCCCCTAATGAGATTTCTCTTCTTTTACTCCCAATGAACTCCTGACCAAGCTAGTTCCAGTTTCCAAAAATAAATAAATAAATAAACCACTCGCTAATGCCATCCTTAAGTTAGCAAATTTACAATTTTAGTGGTAATTCAGCTAGCTATTTATTACATGAATAATAATTTTAGCTGTAATTCAGCTAGTTATCTGTTACATGAATAGCTTTTAGCACAATTATAACAAAAATAATAGGGAAAAATGCTTCCAGTCCCCAAAAACTAAGGAAACGTGCTTCCCACCCCTAAGACTTTGTCAACGGGTGTTTTACCCCCAAAAATAAAAATTCTGTTCTCTGAGCCCCCAAAACACAAAATCCAAGACATTAAAATATGTGAAGACCATAATACCCTTCTCTCTTTCTTTCTTTTTTTTATTAAAATATGATGATGATTATTTTATTTTCTCTCTCTCTCTTTATCATGATGTACTGAGATGATAGTTGAAATGATTGATGATGATTATTTTATTATTTTTGTTTTTTATTATTTTGGTTGTTTGTATTGGGAGATTGTTAAAATTACGGGTTAATTGTTAATGTTACGAATTAATTGTTAATGTTACGAGTCAATTGTTAAGGTTATGAATCCTCTCTCTCTCTCCTCTCTCTCTCTCTCTCACTCTTTCTCTCTTTCTATCATGATGTTTCTTTGATGATATTGAAATGATTAAAGAGGATTATTATTTTATTATTTTTGTTTTTTATTCTTTTTGTTTTTATTATTTTCGTTTTTTATTATTTTGGTTGTTTGTATTGGAAGATTGTTAAAGTTACGGGTTAATTGTTAAGGTTACGAAATAATTGTTAATATTAGGGGTCAATTGTTAAGGTTATGAATCCTCTCTCTCTCTCTCTCTCTCTCTCTCTCTATCATGATGTTTCTTTGATAATATTAAAATGATTAAAGAGGATTATTATTTTATTATTTTTGTTTTTTATTCTTTTTGTATTTTTAGAATATTTGTTGTTAAGGATAATGGTTGGTTGCAAAGGTTATGCATTGATTGTTAAGGTTACAGGTTGGTTGTTAAGGTTACAGGTTTGTTGTTAAGGTTATGTGTTTGTTGTGTAGGTTACGGATTTGTTGTTAAGGTTACGTGTTTAATTGTTAAGGTTACGAGTTTAATTGTTAAGGTTACGTGTTTAATTGTTAAGGTTACGGGTTTAATGTTACGAGTTTAATTGTTAAGGTTACGTGTTTAATTGTTAAGGTTACGGGTTTAATTGTTAAGGTTACGAGTTTAATTGTTAAGGTTATGAGTTTAATTGTTAAGGTTACGAGTTTAATTGTTAAGGTTATGAGTTTAATTGTTACAGTTACGGGTTTAATTGTTAAGGTTAAGGGTTTAATTGTTAAGGTTACAGGTCAATTGTTAAGGTTATAGATCTCTTCTCTCTCTCCCTCGTAACCTTAACAATTAAAACCGTAACCGTAATAATTAAACCCATAACCTTAACAATTAAAACCGTAACCTTAACAATTAAACCCGTAATCTTAACAATTAAACCCGTAACCTTAACAGTTAAACCGTAACCTTAAAAATTAATAAACCATAACCGTAACAATTAAACCCGTAACCTTAACAATTAAAACCGTAACCTTAACAATTAAACCCGTAACCTTAACAATTAAACCCGTTACCTTAACAATTAAACCCGTAACCTTAACAGTTAAACCGTAACCTTAACAATTAATAAATCATAACCGTAACATTTAAACTCGTAACCTTAACAATTAAACCCGTAACCTTAACAATTAAACCCGTAACCTTAACAATTAAACCTGTAACCTTAACAACAAATCAGTAACCTTAACAATTAAACCGTAACCTTAACAATTAAACAATAAGCTTAACAATAAAAGCATAAGCCTTACAGGTTAACAGAAACATCAACAACTAATAGATGTAACCTTAACAATTAATAAATCATAACCGTAACATTTAAACTCGTAACCTTAACAATTAAACCCGTAACCTTAACAATTAAACCCGTAACCTTAACAATTAAACCTGTAACCTTAACAACAAATCCGTAACCTACACAACAAACTCATAACCTTAACAACAAACCCTTAACCTTAACTAACAACCTGTAACCTTAATAATCAATGCATAACATTTACAACCAACCATTATCCTTAACAACGAATATTCTTAAAATACAAAAAGAATAAAAAACAAAAATAATAAAATAGTAATCCTATTTAATCATTTCAATATCATCAAAGAAACATCATGATAGAGAGAGAGAGAGAGAGAGAGAGAGAGAGAGGATTCATAACCTTAACAATTGACCCGTAACATTAACAATTAATTCGTAACCTTAACAATCTCCCCGTAACTTTAACAATCTCCCAATACAAACAACCAAAAAAAAAAAATAATAAAATAATCCTCATCAATCACTTCAACTATCATCTTAGTACATCATGATAAAGAGAGAGAGAGAAAACAAAAATAATAAAATAATTCTCATTATATTTTTAATAAAAAAAGAAAGAGAGAGAGAGAAGGAGAGAGAGGATTCATAACCTTAACAATTGACCCGTAACATTAACAATTAATTCGTAACCTTAACAATTAACCCGTAACTTTAACAATCTCCCAATACAAACAACCAAAATAATAAAAAACGAAAATAATAAAATAATCATCATCAATCATTTCAACTATCATCTTAGTACATCATGATAAAGAGAGAGAGAAAACAAAAATAATAAAATAATCCTCATCATATTTTAATAAAAAAGAGAGAGAGAGAGAGAAGGATATTATGATCTTCACATATTTTAATGTCTTGAGTTTTGTGATTTGGGGGCTCAAAGAACATAATCTTTATTTTTAGGGGTAAAACACCCGTTGACAAAGTCTTAGGGGTGGGAAGCATGTTTCCTTAGCTTTTGGGGCTGGAAGCATTTTTCCCAAAATAATATTAAAAGCCCATCTAGCCTGACCCCAAACATGTAGCCCGCATAGAAACGTTAACTCCTACTACAATTACAATTTTAGACCCTAACCAGAGAATCAAGAACATCAGGAAACCAAATCGAAGCCTACTGGTTTCTTTCCAAATTAGAAAAAAAAAATCATATATCGATACTAAATCAAATCAAATCACAACCCTTTCGCTAATCTTCCTGTGATTCACCTATAAAACCCCTAACCTCCCCTAGAGCCTCTTTCCATGCTCTCCTATAATCCTACTTCAACTCAACTTAATTTATTATTATTAAACTCCCTAATCAAATCAAACCTCTATAAATCACCCTCTTGATTACACACTCCCAAAACATTCTCGACAAATGTTGAACGACGCTAACAGTGTACCACCACCGCTCCCGCCACCGCCGCAACCGGTCCCCGGCAAGTCTCCGGCATGCGCCGCGTGCAAACATCAACGGAAAAAGTGCGTCGACACGTGCGTGTTCGCCCCGTACTTCCCTCCGGGCCTCGCCCGCGAGTTCCACCGCGCACAAAAGGTTTTCGGGGTAAGCAACATGGCGAAGATGGCCGCCGGAATCCCCGTCGGCCACCGCGGGCTCTTCTTCGAGTCGGTGGTTTATGAGGCGGAGCTCCGGTACCTGAACCCGGTGACCGGTTGTGCCGGTCAGGTTGATAGGCTTAGGAGGCAGAATTGTGAGCTTAGGCACGAGGTTGAGGTGTTAAGGGAGAAGGTTAGGGTGTATGAGGATTTTTTCCATAACAATAACGGTAACGGTAACGGGTTTGTTTATAATATTAGTGATCAGCATCCCCATGATAATTGTGCAAATTTAAATGCCGTCACCAATAACAGTAACAGTAACAACGTGGTGTTTTATAGCGCGGGATCGACGTTGCTTAACGGTGAACGGGGAAAGCGTGCAGATTCTTGATACTACTGTTACGGTTTCTAGTTTTTATGTTTACTGAAATTAATAACGTTTTTAATTATTGTAATTATCAATTGTTGGCCGAATGTGGTATAAATGGGTGTTAATAAGAGAAGACTATACATGGGATTATGCATTAAAAAAAAAAAGAATTTTCGTGCTTCTTTTGTTTCCATATTTTTGTTAAAAATCTTATGCGCGTAAAAACTGTTAATGTGAATGTGATATATTGTTGGATATATATGGATCCTCTAAGCTGTCAAAAATTAGTTCTCTCTCTCCACTACTTATACTGATTGTTATTGGGATTAACTGCGGTAATTTTTCCTTTCTTTCTGTCCTTTTTCCTTATGAACATAATCTTTTATAGAGACAGGAATTAATGCCGAGAGATTTCTCTCTCTTTTCTTGTAAAGGTGAGAGGGTTAAAAAAAATCACTTTTCCTTTACAAGCATGGAGTGAAAGTGCACGCGCAACATAAAAATTCTAACCAAATAACTAGTTTGAAACAAATCATAAAATTTGAGCGATCTAATGACAATTTTAATGATTTTGAGAGTCCTCTATATTATTTGTTTCCCACGTTTCTGTTGCGCGCCTATGCGGAAGCGTGCTCGCACACCGAACAAATCTGTGATCACGTACGGGAGAAGAGAACCAACCACACACGAGCACAATTCGAACCAAATACGACAAATCAAACCAAACACAGAGATATACGTGGTTCAGCAATTTGCCTACGTCCACGGGGAGAGGATAAGGAGATTCCACTAAATCAATGAGAGTACAAAGGGTTATAATCTCTCAAAATCACTCACACTAACCTTAAACCAAATCTCTCAACTTGCTCACAAGTTCTCCCTCTCATTATGTTCAGTACAATCTAAAATCTCTGTTAAGAAACCCTAGAAAATCGTGTTTTAATTTATATCAAAACACAAACCCAATGCGAATGGGAAACCAAACTCAGGCCCAGCTCGACTCGCGGTCAACCACAGAGACACGTGCGGTCGACCGGACAGAACGACAAAGACTGAAAAAACATTACAAGGTTTGTACGGTCGACCGTCGTGCCAATCGCGGTCGACCACGAAAAGTCCAGATACTTTTCCAGCTTGCGTGCACATTTGCGGTCGACCGCCGCCCTACTCGCGGTAGACCGCTGGAAGTCCAAACCTATTTTCTACTGTTTTTTCTGTATTCTCTTCAATTCTCCACCTCAGTGAAGTTTTCCCAAAACTGAGCCGACACCAAACGAAGAGCATCAATGCGTCATCTCTCCAAAATCGTCTGCACCAATATGGTTGCCTACGTACCCCCTCTCCCAAGGGATCAAGCCGCTCGTAGTTCATCCAAATGATCGTCAACGACCTCAACAATCACGAATGTATAACAAGTTTCGACAATGATCAAACTTGTTGCTTGGAACCACCTTAGTGAGCGTATCCGCTGGATTATCCTTCGTGTGGACCTTCACAATCTCCATATCACCATCTTCAAGAACATCTCGAACGAAGTGATAACGAACATCAATGTGTTTCGTCCTCACATGAAAAAACCTGATTCTTCGCCAAATAGATAGTACTCATGCTATCATAATGAATAGTGACGGACCGCTGCGATATACCAAGTTCTTCCAAAAGACCTCGAAGCCAAATAGCCTCCTTCACAATCTCTGTAATCGCCATATACTCTGCCTCCGTCGTCGATAAAGCCACCGTAGACTGTAAGATGCATCTCCAACACACTGACACATGGGTCAAAGTGAAGACATACCCTGTAGTAGACCGGCGTTTATCCAAATCTCCGGCATAATTCGAATCAACATAGCCAATGCACAACTGCCCACCTGTAGTGTCCCGCTCGAAAACCAAACCAACATTGAGCGTACCTCGAATGTACCTCAAAATCCTGCCCACCTGTAGTGTCCCGCTCGAAAACCAAACCAACATTGAGCGTACCTCGAATGTACCTCAAAATCCATCTCACGGCGTCCCAATGACCTCCTCGAATGTACCTCAAAATCCATCTCACGGCGTCCCAATGACCTACTCCTGGATCGTGCATGTATCTCAAAATTATGTTCACCGCCTGTGACAAATCTGACCTCATACATATCATCGCGTACATCAAGCTTCTAACCATGCTCGCATATAGAGTCTTCGACATCAATTCTCGATCTTCAACTATCTTCGGTGAGAGGTCAGTTGAAAGCTTCAAATGGGCTCCCAAAGGTATACTAACTGGCTTCGTATCCATGCTAACATGAAATCGTTGTAGAACCTTCTTCAAATAAGCCACATATATCAAACAAATTCTATCCTTCTCTTTGTCTCTGCATATCTTCATCCCTAAAATGCGCTTAGCCTCACCTAAATTCTTCATCTCAAACTCCTTTGAAAGTTGTGCTTTTAACTCATCTATAGAAGATCTGGAAATAGAGACAACCAATATGACATTGACATAAAGCAACAAATAGATGTACACATCTCCTCTCAACTTGTGAAAATACACGCAAGGATCAAACTTGTGAAAATACACCCAAATTCTTCATCTCAAACTCCTTTGAAAGCTGTGCTTTCAATTCATCTATAGAAGACCTGGAAATAGAGACAACAAATATGACATCGACATAAAGCAACAAATAGATGTACGCACCTCCTCTCAACTTGTGAAAATACACACAAGGATCAAACTGGCTCTGAGTGTATGAATGACCAAGCATAAAGCTATCAAATCGCCTATACCATTGTCGAGGAGACTGCTTCAAATCGTATAATGATTTTTTTTAACCTGCAAATCAGGTTTTCCTTCCCTGCAGCTCGAAATCCCAATGGCTGAGTCATATATATTTCTTCATCAAGATCACCATGAAAAAAATATCATCTTCATATCTAACTGATCTAACTCTAATCCATATCGTGCCACCAAAGCTAGCAAAATACGAATCGAAGAATGCTTCACCACCGGAGAGAAAACCTCATTATAATCAATTCCTTCCTCCCGTGCATAGCTCTTCGCAACCAACCTAGCCTTGAACCTTACTGGAGTGCCTTCAATGCCCTCCTTCTTCGTGTACACCTACTTGCAACCAATTGCCTTTCGCCCCTTTGGAAGCTCAACAAGCTCCCATGTATCGTTCTTGTGAAGAGACTCCATCTCCTCTTGCATAGCCACCTACCACGAATCAGCCTCCAAACTCTACTCAGCCTCTCTAAATGTAATAGGTACCAACTCAGCGATATTCTTCACCAGAAGTGCATATGCAACTACTATATTGGTATACCATGTTGGCATCCGTATGTCTCTCCTCTGTCTCCAAACTACAATTGAATCCTGAACCTGAGTCGTCGGTCCCTGATCCTGCACAACTATACCCGTATCCTCCTTGTCATCGCCGTGCTCATCTGGCATCACCTCAGTCGGTACTTTAATGGATACTGTACCATCTGGACAATGTGGAGCTGTATCGAACTCCACCACCTGCGATATCTCCTCTGTCGGGTCTCTCTCCACCGGATGAGAGCCGAGAAGCTTCAAGATAGAAGCCTCATCAAACATGATATCCCTACTCAGCACAATCTTTCTATCAACTGGATCTCATAGCTTGTATCCTTTGACACCATGCTTGAATCCTACAAATATGACCTTCCTAGCTCGAGATTTTAACTTATCAATCTTCACATGATAGTATGCAGGGCACCCAAATAGCTTGAGCTGGTCACAATCGTGTGCTGGCTCTCCTGACTATATCTCCATAGGGGTCTTCCTCTCAATTGCAGATGAAGACAGCCTGTTAATGATGTGGTTCGCATATGAAAGTGCCTCAGCCCAAAAGATCTTTTCCAAATCACTATGCGCCAATAAACATCGGATCTTCTCCAACAAAGACCGATTTAGCCTCTCTGTCATCCTATTCTGTTGCGGTATATGACTAACTGTGAAGTGTCTCTCTATGCCCTCATCTCGACATAGCTACAGAAAGGGGTCTGATGTGTACTCACCGTAGTTTCAACCTTTTCTTCCACTCCACAAATATATCTAGAACTTCATTCTTCTTCGTCATAGTGTATACCCAACAACGCCTAGAATAGTCATCAACAAACGTGACGAACCAATGTCAATCACCAAGTGATGCAGTCTTGATGGGACCCCAAACATCTGTGTGCACATAATCCAGGATGCCCCTCATCCTATGAATGGTTGTCCCGAACTTCACCTTTATCTTCTTGTCAAGTACACAGTGCTCACAGAACTCAACTTTTCTACTCTTGGCTCCCTTCAATAGCTCCTGCTTACATAAATCCTGCATTGACTTCTCTCCCGTGTGCCCTAACTTGTAGTGCCAAAGTCTGCTAATATCTGCCTCTGAAATAGCTGAAGCAACCTGGCCAATCTCGATGCTCCCCTTCAAATAATATAAGTTTCGACTATGGACTCCTTTCATTACCACTAAAGATCCCTTAGTAATCTTTGCTACAGCATCCTCAAAGGTCATCCTGAATCCCTTTGCCTCCAAAGTCCCAATTGAGATAAGATTTTTCTTCAACTAAGGAACAAATTTCACATCCTTTAATTCACGGACTACTCCATCGTGCATCCAAATCCTCACGGTACCCATCTCACAAATGCCACATGATTGATCATTTCCCATGACAACAACACCCCCATCGAGTCTCTCAAATGATGAAAACCAATCTCGCTTAGGAGTCACATGATAAATAGCGTCAGAATCAAGTATCTAATCAGATACATCTAAGTGGTTCACCTCCGGAGTAATCAATAGAGAAAAGCTCGAATCATCGGAATCATCGCCTTTTGTAACATTCACCTCATTGGCCTTCGGGCCCTTCTTATTGCTATCCTCCTTCTCCTTGATCTTTGGGCAGTCTCTCTTCCAATATCTCTGCTCCTTATAGAATGCACATTGGTTCTTTTCTAGTTGGTGATGACCTATTAACTTTGACCTGCCTCTATTGCCACCTCTCGGATATGGGCTTCTACCTCTCGTCGACAAGGCCTCTCCTGAAGTTCTAGCGCGATAAGTCTTCTTTTCCTTCCTCCTCAAATCATAATTCGTCAAAGCATTAGTCACTTCACTATAAGTGATAGAAGATCTCCCATTCAACAATGTAAGTACAAAGGTATCATACTCCTCATCCGATAAGGAGCCCAAATGAATAATAACCTTGTACTCATCCGATATCTTCTCATCTACATTGTCCAAGTCCGATAACAACTTAGTGTAGTTGTTCACATGAACTACTAGTGAGGTGCCCCTGGATATCTGAAATCTGAATAACCTGCGCAGCAAGTGTAATCTGTTCTCAACATTCTTCGTAAGGTACTTGTTGTTAAGAATTTCTCACATCTTCATTGCAGACGTCACCCCAATCACATCATATTTCAGCTCATGTTCCAAACAAGACCTGATCACCCCACAAGCGTTCCTATTCATCTTTTCTCGTATTGCCTCTTCATATTTTGGTGACCTCTCATGGACCATGATGGTCTCCTCTAAATTCTGAGCATTAAGCGTATCCTGAACATCGTTCATCCACAAACCAAAATTGATCTTGCCTTCATACTTCACCACACTAATCTTAGTGTTATGAAATCCAACTTGAACTGTACCTGCCATCTTGCTGCTTTCACTAACTTCTTCACTCATAATCACAGACTCCAAATTGTAAAGAAAGATTCAAACTTTGAAAGGATTGAGGAATTACCCAACTGAACCCAAGATTGAATTCCAAATAGAACTCCTAACCACACGAGGAAAGTGAGATCTTCAACGGCAACTCCAAACCCTATCTCCACCGAAACCTAGAACTTTAAGAACCAAGCTTCCACAACCAATCTTCCTCCACCTAATGCCAAAACCTTAGATCTAAAATCTGAGCTCTGATACCAATTGTTACGCGCCTATGCGGAAGCGTGCTCGCACACCGAACGAATCTGTGATCACGAGAGAAGAGAACCAACCACACACGAGCACAATTCGAACCAAATACAACAAATCAAACCAACACAGAGATATACGTGGTTCAAAAATTTTCCTACGTCAACGGGGAGAGGATGGGGAGATTCAACTAAATCAAGGAAGTATAAAGGGTTACAATCTCACAAAATCACTCATGCTAACCCTAAACCAAATCTCTCAACTTGCTCACAAGTTCTCCCTCTCAATATGCTCAGTACAATCTAAAATCTCTGTTAACAAACCCTAGAAAATCGTGTTTCAATTTATATCAAAACACAAACCCAATGCGAATATGAAACCAAACTCAGGCCCAGCCCGACTCGCGGTCAACCACAAAGACATGTGCGATTGACCGGACAGAACGACAGAGATTGAAAAAATATTACAAGGTTTAGTCGGTCGACCGCCGCGCCAATCGCGGTCGACCGCGAAAAGTCCAGAGACTTTTCCAGCTTGCGTGTACGTTTATGGTCGACCGCCGCGCCATTCGTAGTCGACCGCTGGAAGTCCAAACATGTTTTCTACCGTTTTTCCTGTATTCTCTTCAGTTTCCGTACCCAATCACAACTAACAAAAAGAGATCATCGAAGAAGAAGAAGAAGAAGAAGAAGAAGAACAAGGGCTTATCAGTCAATATTCCATAAAGAGCAAACCTCATTTCCATGACAGACTCGATCACCCACAAACAAAAACCAACACATACAACAGCCAATTAAATCAACAAATTTGACTCAGAGCTACAACAGCCAATTAAATCAACAAAATTGACTCAGAGCTCCCTTGACCTAGACGAGGACATCCTCAGCGACTTCTTTGATGCCCTCGTCGGCGAGGATCTTGTACATTTGCTGCGTCGGATGAATGGCGTCCCAGTACATGAACTTCGTCGGGTCGTCGCAGGTCTTCTGGCCCTTGCATGACTGTCCGAACTCTATTGTGCCTGAGCCGCAGCATCCTTTTGATATTTCTGCAAACCCTGTAGAAGGCGCATGGATATGAATTAGCTACAGTAGTATAAATATTTTTATTTACTTTTAGGGGCTGTTTGGATGCCTTTAGGAAACTAGAGTATTTATGACACAAAATAGAAAGTGGTTATCCACCTCATCACTTTTCATTCGAGTGTTTACATTGTTTGGTTAGAAATCTTTGTGAATCCTAAAATAATAGTATTATATTGTTTGGATAATATAATGTAAACTAGAGTATTTATGACACAAAATGGAAAGTGGTTATCCACCTCACCACTTTCTACAAGGTTTTGACTTTTTTATTATTTTTTTGGACACATTTATGATATTGTGTAAGCTTTCCAACAAAATCACTCCTAATTTTGGTGATTTTGCTTTCGGTGACACCTCATCAAAAGGTGTAAGCTTTTCATGTAAAAGAGAGTTTAAACAAACAATGTAAAGTGATAAAAGCTGACATTGGGACCCACTTTTTTACACTTTCCATCATTTTACATGGTGAAAACATACAACCAAACAGCCCCTTACTTATACTAAGGGGGTGTTTGGTTACATTTCTATAAATTATAGGAAATGTTTTCCACCCAAAATTTGATTTCCTTGTATTTCTTAAAAAAATTATAGGAAAAGTTTTGAGAAGTTAAAAAGTACAAATTTTCTTACTTTTTGTATTTTACTTGTTTGGTTCAAAACAAGAAAATGACTCATAACTTTTGGGAAAATAGCAACATTTCTTATAATTTATAGAAATGTAACCAAACACCCCCGTTATATAGAAAAGTGAGAACTTTATAGAAATGTGTTAATGAGTTTTATTATTTAAATAATGAATGCGTCAGATTTCCAAGAGATTTCCGCCCATTTTTGAAGGAAATCAATTTCTATAAAATTTGGTACTTTTCTGTACTTTATAGAAAACATTTCTGTAAATCTTTTTTGAGCCAAACACAGTTTATAGAAATCTATAGAAATCTCTTAATTACAGAAATGCCATGCGTCAGTACTTTTGAGAAAACATTTCTCAAAAAACATGCAACCAAACACCCCCTAATGCACTGGGCACCACTCGAGTGACACCGCTAAAAAGGATACATTTCTAAACGTAGATTCTACATATAATCATTATGTTACGTGGGGCACCACTGGTACAAAATTTTGTACCGGCTACCGGCTAAAGTGACTGGGTTAAAAAGATCACTAATATTGTTAAAATCTTCCTCGTGTGACATTAGTGTAGGTGGCGGCGCATCTCAGAGTCCTTTCTACCACCACACCAAAACTCAGAAATTATGGTAAAATTTTTTAGACTATGGTGGGTTTGGCGTCCTTTAGTTTCGTGGGTTCCAACATAAGCTATTGTTTTAACTCTATTTTTGATATGTGTCTTGTAATACTTGAACATGAATTGCTGTGATAGAATCTTAATGTCCCTTTTACTGCATCAAAACTTTAAAATTATAGAACAAGCACAATTAAATTAGTATGAAGTCATGTCATGTAGGGTACATGTAAATGATAAATTTTTGTTTTATATCCTCTCTCTCTCTCTCTCTCGTGCACTTGTAGAAAAATTTTTATGCGTTGGTAAGTCATATCATGTTTGTATTTGCACGCCTGTGTTTTGTATTTTTGTTAGATGTTATCTGAGGTCCGGTAGCAAATCTTCCATCTAGCAGATAATCAACACAGGATATGTTCAAATTGCTGATTAACTGCATTTCAAATGATGGCAAATCTTATAGGTGTGCAAAAAAATCAAAACTAACCTTAATACAAACATTACCTAAAGGTACCGATCATATAACTTACCATATTTTGTAGGGTTACTAGTCACATCCTCAAAGATCTTGTAAATATCAAGATAAGCAGCTTTTAGACCCAACTGCTTCTTCAAAACATCCAATTGCTTCACAATCTTAGAGTTGAATGACTTAGCCACATCATTGTACTGCACGAAACACCCTTCAGCAGCCGTCAGAGTCTTGACAACAGGGAGGCATCCCATTGGCGGAACTCCGACCAACACGAATCTTTTCGCTCCTAGTTTATTAATTTCCTAAGATTAAATCAAAAACTTGACGTCAGATATTTGTCTGAGTCCTTAGTTGAGTGATGGACAACTAGAAAATAACATGTGGAAAAAAAAAGAGTTAGTGGGGATGAGTCAATAAATATTAAGCATGTTTGGATGGAAGGTAGAGAGGAAGAGGTGAAAAGAAATATAATTTTAATCTTGTTTGTGAGTTCCATTTACGAGGGCAGAGGAGGAGAATAAGGGGGGAATTTGAGCTAAAATCTTGCACCCCAAATTGGGGTGTAATGAAGGGGAAAGAAATGAAGATGAACATTTCCCCTCCCTTCCCTTCTCTACCCTCTCCCAAACACATTGGAAGGGATATGATAAGAAATGACTGCATCTTCTGGAGGTCCATGTAAACAAAATTCTTTTCGTTTAAGGATAAAAGAGTCAAAATTTTCAGTCAAAGAGTCTGCGACAATAGAACTAAAGAGGGTATCTGCAGTCGACCGATTGTACAAGGAGCCCATCCGCTAAACCGCGACAATAAGGAAAAGAGGTTTGATGACTACCTTGATGTATCCGGACATGAGAGAGATCAGATAGTCCTCGTACTTAGGCTCAGTGAATTCCTTCGATCTGTTGTCGTAAAAGTAATAGTTTTGAACGAAATCGTTGGTTCCTGCACTGATCACTACAAGGGCATCCTCAATGGTCTTCTGTGATTGCACAGGACCCTCTAGTTTCCTCAACTGGACCTTGTAATGCCTCAGGTATTCTATTTGCTTTGTGATCGTCAACACACCCTGCATCCAAAATTGAGAAGAGCAAACGAGGTTGCGAGATAGTTTTAATAAAAAAATACAATCGTTGTATATGTTGGTCTTGCGAGATAGTTTTAATAATAAGCTGGTCATCATTAATGATGACCAAGTCATTATGCAATAGGAGGGGGGCACCGCACACGTCCATCCTGTTTGTCCCATATTTTGGGTCCCTGTAGCAAAGCTCGCCTACATTTGTTTCAAATGCTAGTGTTTACCAACGTTTTCTCTAGAAAACGTTGGGAATTACCAACATTTTTGTTTAAAACTTTGGGAATTGCCAATATTTTAGACAAAAATGCTGTGAATTATAAGATTCCCTCTAAAAGACTCTTCCCCTTCTTAGTCCTACATGAGGTAAGCAATTAGATTTTTAATGCTTTAAAACAGTAAATTACTCGCCAACTAATTGTTGAAATCATAAATGCACGCTTACCAATAAGCGTAGCCCTAAAAATTTGTGTAAGCTGTGGGCCTTGCAACACTCTTTGGTTCCATGAGTGCTCTATGTTAGCCGACCTGTGCTAAATTTTGCAAAGATTCTTTTGTACAGTGACAACGTTTTCAACAAAACGCTAACATCTAATGCCCACACTTGTCATACCAACATTTTTTAAAAATGTTGGCGCCTCAAATAAAAACATTTCGAAAATGTTATTGAATGCAATTATAAACGTTGTAACTTGTGAAGGGTTTTGTAGTGTGTAGTTATTCGTTTAAAGTATTGGATTAACCTCTGACCATGTTGCTTTTTAACCCTCAAATTAGAGGAAACTTTAGTCTATTCAGTTAAACTCTAGACTTCGGAGGTATAAGTGCTAATAAAATAGTTTAGAGAGTATAAGTAGCTACGTCCTTATGCTACATATAACGTAACTGCAATTAATCTGTTTCACTAAATGTAAATTGATTTGGAAGTGAAGAAATGTGGGAGGAGCGTACATACTGCCTGTATCGCGGTTAGTTCATCGTATCCTGAAGAAGCTGACGCAAAACTGACACCAAGTTTGCGCTGTTGAGGAGTGAGGTTTGGGTCCAAGAAGGCTGGAATGCTCTTGGCAATGCCCAATGTCTCGGCTGCACACAAAATACTTAGAATGTTGAGCACCATACAACAATTGGAGTCAATATAATCAGTGTAAATGAAGATTTTGTGCATGAAAGGTGCTAGTTGTCAGCTATGTAATTAGTTGATACCGTTAATTCCTTCACTGGATTATGCATTAAACTTGAAGATTTAAACTAACATTACTTTAAAATATCAAGTCATGATCAATAATATCCAGTTCACATCCAAATTTAACCTACCCGGGAATTCATTAATTTTTATCAAACACAGATAGTAAATTCAGAATGTAGCTGCTGCTGCCTATGTCCATATCTCTGTCAGAAGAAACTATATGAAAAAAAAAAAAAATACATAGTAGCATTAGTAATGCCCTTTCCTATAGAGAAACATTGCTTGCAAGTACTGCACTTCAAGATGCACAATTTGTGGACAGACAGCTTCCAAGAATGAAGTCAGCAATGTTACGTTACCGTCCTAGAGACTTCTAAGTTGTGATAAGGTAGAGTTATATTTTTATATCCTAACCGTCCCTGCAGATCGAACGTTCTTTTTATGAGTCGAAACATTGATTCAAACAGCGGTGTCAAATTTTAGAAAATCCGCTTTAAGTTCGTGACCGGTGGGATTGAAACTGGGTTGCTATGATACCATCTCAAATTAAATGACCCAACTATTTCATAAGAACTCCGAAATTGTGATGAAGATTGAACGTTAGACTTTAATATTCTAACACTCAACTTGGCAAATAATGTGGATTGAAGTTCAATGAGGGACGATGCTAGTAATTAGTCCAGAGGGTAGATGTCTCTGCAATTATTCCCAGAAAAAAATAAGATCTCATTCAATACTAGCGTGGATGGGGAAGCACAGTTGAGCCGATTCAAGGGGCAACATGCCTGTATAGTGCACACAAGCTTGCATTAATTACAACAAGCATCATTTACTGTAACATTTCACACCACAGAAAAGAGCTTTGCTACAGGGACCCAAAATATGAGACCAATAAATGGGACAAGTGAGGTGTCCCCCTCCTATTGGATAATGAGTTGGTCATCATTAAGGATGACCAACTCATTATCCAATTGAGTTGGTCATCATTAAGGATGACCAACTCATTATCCAATAGGAGGGGGACACCTCGCTTGTCCCCCCTATTGATCCCATATTTTGGGTCCTTTTAAAGAATTTTTTTCCACAGAAAAATCACACATGCTATCATTTATTATGTTGAATTCTAATTGATGATAATTACTGTTGGACCCACCAACGCAGAGTGGATATAATATTCGCATTCAATCTCTTATATCTGTCGCTAGATGAATTTGCAAAAATTTATATCTATATATATAATTTACTGGTAACAATTTTAATCTACAGGAAGTAAGCATGACATGCAATTCGCTACTAATTTTTAAATTAGTGCAATCATTGTATAATATCAGTGCAAACAATAAATATATAAATGTAAACAATTAATGTAATCAAGTCGGTCAGAATATCACATTAGTGCAGTCAACAACTTTAAAATGTGTGTTGGGCCCATTGCCGATGATCTTCTTGACTCCACATCCTTGAGATCGAGCCTCCCCATATAAACACAATCCCCCACGTTCTCCCCCAACACGCGCGCGCAAACACATGACACGTTTACTAACCTTCTTGTCAAAGATCTTGATCATAATGAACAATTAATTGCAATGATTTCCCTAACTTGTGAACAATTAATCATGATTAATACTCTTACTTAAACTAGACCTTATACTATTGTTAACCAATAATTAAACACTAGATATAGTAATTATCTCCTAATTAGCAACGAGAAAAAGGGTTTGTACATATATACCAATGAAGTCAGTGGCAAGCCTCCCATCACAAAACCTCCCGGTAGGCCGTCCATCAAGAAAATCCTTGCCGTAAGGCAAGAAGTTGGCCTTGAAATCCGTCAACAGACGGTTGTTGTTCCCCGGGTCAACGGTAGAGTCGCCGAACACCAGCATGGCCTTCGCCTTCCATGGCTGTCGTGCCTCTCGCCCGTGCACATAAGCGCAGTGTGCGAGAAGCAGTACAGCAGCTATCGAGATCACCTGCATAGTCTGCATCTGTGTTTCCTGGATGTTTAGAGGAATGCAAGCTGGAAGCTGAAGAAAAGTGCAGGCTCCTTATATAATGTGCAAGGGGGGAGGTATTCATATTTGCAAATTTACCCTCTAATTCTACCATATTGAGCTAAAATGCCCTACAAAAACCGCGTTAAGGAGTGCTTATATATATTTTTTTTCATAATTTTTATGTCAGCTGTTTAGCTTATTATTCCCCCCTTGCACCATTTAAAAACTTAGACAAGTTTAAAATTGGGAGTATTACAGCTAATTAATGAAGTAGAGCTGAGGGGTAAATGTCCAAATAACTAGATTAGAGAGGTAACTGTGCATATGGATGATTTAGGGGCCATATATGTAAAAAATTCCTTTATTATCTAAACCATTAAGGCAATGGTTAGCAAAACCATTATATAAACGGTGAATCAATAATATGTCTCTCTTTTAATTAGAGAACTCAGGGATTCGTATATTTATTGAAGAATTGACATCCTGTGTTTATATTGAATACCTCATGTATGCTAGAGAAACTATTCAATAATACATGTAGATCTACGAAGATTTAGATACGCCCCATGATGAACATTTATTGTTAAAAACAATGTCTTGATCTTCATTGTTTATTTATTGTAAATACTAAAGAAGTTTCAAATCTATTAATTTATTGGATAGTTGGTGCATCAAGGACTATTCTTACATCAGCGCAAAATATGAAAACTATTAGTTTAGTTTTTCCCCCTTCCTGCTGGTAGATAAAAATAAATGGTAGCTTTTTTTCAGTTTTATTTTATTTTTCAGTTTTATGATTACTTTAGTTGGTTGCTCTGGTAAGCAAATGAGTTAATGCAGTGTGGGCTGAAATTGTTAGTTGAGTTACATAAATGTCTTGCAGGAGGGGATATATATATATGGGCCCATTATTGAAGGGATGATGTATATATGTAGGAGATGCAATTTGTGTTTGGCCATTGTTAGAGAAATGTGAAGCTTCTGGTTACATAATTAATTAATAGCTGGAGAAGTTGGTGAAGGGAGATGAAGTCCGTTCATGAATCTTGTGTGGGCTCAATAGAGTATGAAATTGGAAGGGGTTGATGTAGCTTTAGCCATAGGCCAAACATATCTGAATAAAAATATGTACGTCAAGTAGAAGATTAAATATTTTTTTGGATTTCAAACATACTCAAGAAACATATGAATTAAACGGCACATGCGTGGCACGTGAAGATCTACGTTAGATAGGACACCATCAATCATCTTGTCGATCTTGAACCCACTTGAATTCGATCAAGAGGTGGTGAACAGATAGATAATATGAAATTAACGATATTAAACTCTGCCGCCGCCATGGAGAAGGAGGAGAGGATACGGGAAATGCTATTATTTGTCTCGAGGGAAACTAAGGAGGAGGGGGGGGGGGGGCACTGAAGCCAAGAGAGCACGTGCAAATGAGGGGGAGAGGTAAACAAATTGCCTCCTCAGCCAATCCTCCAAATAATAATATTGAAGTGATGGGAGGGAAGGTATGGATACGGTTACGGTGAGCAGGTCTACTCAAACATCAGAGGGAAGTAGAATTCAAGAAACACAAAGCTTTGTGGCAAACAGTACTCAAGAGAATAAACCTCCTGATGGAGGGATTAAACGCATGTGTGTATTTGATAATTCGCCCCCCCCCCCCCCCTCCCCTCCCCTCCCCTTTTTTATTTTGTTCCCTGTGGCAAACAAAAATAACGATATGGAATTGTAGAGTGCTGGTAGAGTAAGGATTTTCGAATGAGTATGCGTTGGCATCTATCGACTTTTTATCCTGAAATTGTTGTTTAATGGAGACTATAAAGTGCCCCCCCCCCCCCCCCCCCCCCCCCCCTCCCCCCCACCCCCCCCCCCCCCCCCCCCCCCCCCCCCCCACCCCCCCCTCCCCCCCCCCCCCCCCTCTCCTCCCTCCCCCGCCCCCCCCCCCCCCCCCCCCCCCCCCCCCGAAAAAAGCCCCGGTATTACGTTCCTTGAATCTTAGTTTTTGGCACATCAATGAAGGTATGGGTAGATCTAGGTATTTGGATTGCCTGGAATGATAGGAATCTGAAAGTGGAGGTTCTGACCAAAGACTTACAGTTTGTTCATATGCAAGTAAGGTGACTTCAACGACATCTTGTATCATTCAGAAAAATGTGGAGGCAATGGGCTTTTTAAGACACCAAGGGCTGAGGAATTTCGCCAATGGATTGATGATTGCATGTTGATGGATATTGGTGCAGTTGGTCCGAAATTTACATGGAGAGGGCCACGTTTTTGAAGGACTCCCTAGAGTCTACAAAAGACTTGATCGAGCATTTTGCTAATAACGGCGAGAGTGTTGTCTAGAATCGATTCTGACCACCACCCGCTGTTATTAAATTTGAAATCCGATCTGAATCAAATGAGACAAAGACCATTCCCTTTTGGGGCTATGTGGATGGAGCAAACCTGTCCATCCCGGCCGGCCCGGCCCGGAAATCCGGGCCCGGGCCGGGCAAAAATAATTGTCAGGGTACAGAGGGCAAAAGTGGTTCTATTTTCATTCTGTTAAATTTCTGACAAATACCATCAATTATATGCGGTATAGTACCCGTCACAGCCATTCCGTTGTAGTCTAGTTGGTTAGGATACTCGGCTCTCACCCGAGAGACCCGGGTTCAAGTCCCGGCAACGGAAAATTTTTGTTTTATATTCAAATTAGCCCTTCAAACATTTTACATTTCAATTCACCCGAGATAAAAATGTAAACGACTTCTCTGACTATGTATTATGAAGAGAAAAAGATCCAATTTATTTTTACTAAAATTTTAACGTTTAACATAGGGAACAACTTTTTCACACTCAAACATTGATTTTCAAACGCCCATGGCAATTTCAGTGGGCTAGATTTTACTCTGGAGTTTTAAGTCTCAAGCGTGAATAAAATACAGAGCAGAGCATGTACATGGACATATCATATACGCTAATGTCATTGGTAAGTTCTTTAATTTAAGATAGTTACTACTTTTATTTTACTATATCACATCTTGGTTTATAATAACTATGTCGTTATTACTTGCTATTAGTTGTTTATTAGGCTAAAAATTACTAACTGGTATTTTTTTTTCATGATACATATTTACTAGTTTTTTTGTTTCCCCCAACACTTTGGTATTAAAAATCCACCAAATGTGGAATTATGTGTTAGTTTTCGTTGATGAAAATCTCGCACAAAAGATGTCACGAACTTGCACGTAGCTTTTTTTTCCTAAAATTTGCAGTTGCTGGTGTGGTAAGTAGGGGTGCCAAACCGTATCCGAGGAAATATCTGTAACCGTATCCGTTAGGATACGAATATGGTTACTCAAATCTATTACCTATAGGATATGGTTGCGGATATGATTTTGTAGTGAAATATCTGTATCCGAAAATATCCGAATACATATTGGTAATACTCTTACGATAGTTTCGATTCTTAGATTATGGATTTGTAGTTAATTTTGATGATCAAGATGTCTAATCTCAGCTTTCCAATCATAATGAACATATTAACGAACTCTTTTTGTATCACATGACTATATTTTTCTGAATACTATCTAGTTTTCTCATATCCTTTTTGTATCCGCATGCATATCCGTTTATATATCCGTATTTATATCCGTAACCGTATCCGATTTTGACGGATATGGATATGAATTTTTCTTACCGATGTATATCCGTATCTGTATCTGTATCCGTATCCGTATCCGAGATGGGTAAGCGGATACGGATATGGTAAGTGCCATATCCGAGCCGTATCCGCTCCGTTAACACCCCTAGTGGTAAGACACAGTGATGTGGCAAAAGTTGTAGAGGTATCTTAAATTGGGTACTGGATTCAAATTTTAGGGCAAAAAATTGGGGCTCAAATTCAACGTAAGATTTTTGAAAGGGATGAACACAAATTATCAAAGGCAATCAACATTTGAACAATTAAAACTCTAAATAGCAGCATTATGCCATCTTCATGCTCTCATTCCAAGTTAAGTCCTGCCTTGATCTATGCTAGGTCGCCTAAATCCTGCCACGTCATTTAAATGCGGTCACACAATGTTCTAATACACCCCAAATTTAATCAAGTGAGTCGTTTGCAATTTACCCATCAATTTTTTCACCGATGAAAAATGCCTAAAATTTGATTTTTAATAACCAAAGAGTCGTCAGAGTAAAAATAAATAAATAAATACCAAACCGATAAAAAGAATTGTTAAAAAAATACCAATTTGGTAATTTATCCAGTGTCTATCATGAGGACTTAAGATTTTCAGGCAACTTTCACTCAATGCCTCCATTAATCAGAAAATTAGAGGAAAAAAAATTGATAAACATGTAATGATAATTTGTCAAAGTACCTTTTTTACTTCTCCTTCGGGAACTTGACGTCTATCCGCAAGAATTAAGCAAACGAATGGAGTTTCACGTTTTCATCGACAGAGTCAAAGAATGGGATTTATATGGACTTTGAGGAGAAATAATAGGAACAGAAAGCTAAGGCGAACAGTGCTTTGGGGGAGAAATAACCGGGGGAGGGGGGAGTCAATTTAAACGAGAAAGGACAAAAATAGATATACTTTTCTGCCGATTTATAAATTATAAAAAAAAGAAAAATAATAATAATCAACCCCACAAGTGGTCTAGCGGTTGGGGGCTGTTTGGATGCATTTAGAAAACCATAGTATTTATGACACAAATTAGAAAGTGGTTATCCACCTCACCACTTTCCATTCGAGTGTTTACATTATTTGGTTAGGAATCTTTGTGATAGAAAGTGGTTATCCACCTCACCACTTTCCATTCGAGTGTTTACATTATTTGGTTAGGAATCTTTGTGAATCCTAAAATAACCACTTTCCATTCGAGTGTTTACATTATTTGGTTAGGAATCTTTGTGAATCCTAAAATAATAGTATTACGTTGTTTGGATAGTATAATGTAAACTAGAGTATTTATGATACAAAAGGGAAAGTGATTATCCACCTCACCACTTTCTACAAGGTTTTGATTTTTTTTATTATTTTTTTGGACACATTTATGACATTGTGTCAGTTTTCCAACAAAATCACTCCTAATTTTGGTGATTTTACTTTCGGTGACACCTCATCAAAAGATGTAAGGTTTTCATGTAAAAGAGAATTTAAACAAACAATGTAAAGTGATGAAAGCTGACATTAGGACTCACTTTTTTACACTTTCCATCCTTTTACAGGGTAAAAACATACAACCAAACAGCCCCTTAGGGCTTGGAGTCACAGTCGTGCCATTCACCTCGGTCTACACTGTGAAGACCCATACTTGGGGCCGATACAAAGCCAATGTTCCTCGCATAAAAAAGTCAAAAAAAAAAAAAAAACTTTCATTCAGGGGGTTTATCAGCCAAAATGAAACTACATGGTCCTAAGTTCAAAACCGTCACACTATATAGTTAGTCTGCTTGCAATTAACGCAAGGAAAAAAATAAACAAACATCGAGCCTTTCAGGCAGCAGTTCGTCCAAACATATCAACAATGACACTGTTGTTTTCAAGATTTAGAATGAGATCTTTCAGCTCCTACAGATATTGAAGAGCCTCCATGAACCTACAAATTATATAGTTTAACCAAAGTATGTAAATGCAGTAAATTAGTATCAGCCTTCATATAACCATTACCCGCTAATTCTGCGGTATAACTAAAATCAAGAATCACCTACGATAGCCATGAAAATAGACGCTAAAAAAAGCTTGACTCACATTTTGTTAGAAAATCATTTCTTGCCATCTTCGACTGTTTCCGAGGCAGTCCTAAAATTACCTCGAAATTATTAAATCAGATTTTTCTTAAACAGAATATTATGAAAGATAAAAGTTTTGATAATACTTACCTTGCTTCTGATGAATCAAGTTGCATTGTGACTGGGCCATCATTTACCAAATTAACCTGCAAGCAACTAAATTAAGCTCGGGCTAAGGAAAGAATCTACATAGAGAAAGAGTTTAGGTTTCCTTCGATTCGGTATAACCTTCATCATGGCTCCAAAAACACCATCTGCATTGTATTGTAAACATTAATCAATTAGGACTTTCATTTTAGTCAAAGGAAGTAAACATTCAACACATCAAAAAAAGAAGAAGAAAAAACCACAAGCACCAAAAAAACAGAAAAAAAAGAAAAAAAATGAAGAAAGGCATTATTTGGATCACTGAAGTGACGCAAAGTGCATAAGTGCAATCATGTTCATACCACATATACACCGGATAAAATTTCTTGAGGTTCACTTTGTAAGTGTTAGATTTAGAATGAATCACAATCACCCACTAGATAATCAATGATCATGGTCACAAGTAATGGTCCCTCCACTACTTTATGAAAATTCAATTTGTAAAGCCACAATCTATGCTTCGAAATGCTTCGCATAAAAATATCAATAAAGGACTTCAGAGTTCCATCCACACCCAAATACCAAAAATTAGGATAAAAGTTCGTTGTTCTTTTTGTGAAATCATCACTACAAGACTGTGTTTGGTAGAAAATTTGTAGTAAAAAGAAAAAATTGAAAGAAATATATTTGATTTGTATTCTCTCAATCTCAATTATAATTCGAATTCCCGATTACAAAAGAGAGGAGAATTGATCTGAATTCTACCATTTGTTTAATTCTGAGTTCTTCACGGTAGCGATGAAGTGCCTCCTTTGAATGCTCGCGTCGAATTTGCTCTTCGTTGACGATCCGCATGTCTCAATTCACTGGAACAACTAACTTACGTGGCAAGTTTAATTAAGAACTCTTAACGAGTTTAAGAACTCAGAACGAGTTAAAACTCTGTTGAACAGAGTTGTTTGAAGCGAAAATTCGGTTAATAGCCAAGTAAATTTGTTTGTTACTAAAAGATGCTCCAAGATCAGATATTCTTGTTGCAACCGATCTGATCTCTTGAGGATGATTGCTCCTAAATCTCCTCTTTGTTGCCGAAAATCTAAGAAGAATCAACCGATGCCCACTCTCCAAGAAATCCGATCTCTTCAGCCTTAATCCAATCTCCCCCAGACCAACCACTGTTTGTTGAGTTTGTTGAGGTTTTATAGGAGGATCAGGGGCGTAACTAACCCCTTAATCCGCTCCTAAGTGGGCGAGATTTCCTCAGATCGTGGGGAAAACGGTTCTGAAACCGTTTGTGACTCATGTTTGAATGAGTCAAACGCCCAAGTTGACGTTCAGGACCCTAACTCCGCGTCTTAGACTGGAGACGCGAGGTTGGGCATCTGCTGGATGTTGAAAAACGTAAGGGTCGCCTGTGTTTTGTTTGCTGAGGGTTGGAAACGCAAGGGTCGCTTGCGTTTCAAGAACTGAAATGCGAAGATGAATTCCGCGTTTAGAAGGGGTTAGTTACTTATAACCTCTTCTGTAGAGCGTTACAAAGACCATTGTTCAGCAATCTTCGCTTTAGTTGTTTTGGGGTGTGAAAGTCGTCAGATTGTAACTCTCACAATTGATTGTGAAGACTATTGGAACAGGGTTCTCATCACTCATCGTGAAGATCGTCGAATTGTAACCTTTTTCCAATCTACGCGAAAATCCTCTGATTGCAGTTTTCATTTGTTGACGTGAAAGTCGTCGGGTTGTAACTTTCCTTGTCGAGATGTTGATTGCAGTCTGATAAGGATCAGCTATCTATTGTGATTTTTAGACAGCCTACAGACTGATTAATGCCTGCAATTCTATATTAGTTTCAATAATAAAATAGGAAAATCTTTCATAAAGGGAAAATCAGTTGCAAGCTGAAAAGTACTGAGATGATTATAGCTTATGTGATGTTGATATGTCAAATTTTAAGTTATGACAATAATAGAAACATTGCAGAAGGTGATAGCTTACCTTGAACTGCATCTGGAGAGTATGATTTCCGGAATTTATCAACTAAGGAAGCATAAAAAACTTTTGCTTTCTCAGGCGGCATAGCCACATGAAAATCTGGCTTGTTGCCTTTCAGAACGCCATACAAGGTAAACTGACTCACTGAAATATTTTGAAAAAATCATCAACTAGAGTTAATCCTCATGATTGATGAGCTTAATGTTGTTTAGTGGACTAGTTACCCAATAGTACTCCAAAGTTTTGATGCATAACCTGCAAAGCAGTTAAATTTTTTTTGAGGTTTAAAGCACATAAAAGATATTCTAGGAAGCATCTGTTTGTAAATAAAAAAGAATATTAATATCTAGTTTGATGAGTCACATTGTCCCAACAACAAAACAATATATAGAACTCCTCCAAGATAAATAGCAAGAAAGTTAAGTTCAAATACTTACGCTTCGATCCCAAGCTTTCCCGCTCTCTTCATTAGGAAAAAGCCTCATGTTTAAGACCTTCCTACATCTGCAGTTGAATAATGAGCTTAGACAATCAACCAACAACATATGACCTTTTTAAAACTATTACTAACACTAATCATTAAAAACAACAGCTACCATATCATGCCAAATACAAAGTGATTGCCCAAATAACTTGTTGGATATGCCAAATCACTTTTAGTTCGTTATTTGTTGTCTACATCACTGGAATATGTGTCTCGCACCAATCAAATGTGCAAATCAACTCAGATGAATTTACTTATAAAGAGCTTAGTGTGATATTGGTCTTGCATCCAAATTATAACATTTGTTGTAGCAAATTTGGTTACGATAAATGCTGCAAGTCCCTTCCTAAGTTAAAAAAAATTTAAAAACTAATGTCATATCATCAAATTAGATTCCAAATTAAGAAATGCAGATCATTCAACAACTCCAGATAAGCAAACACTTGAATTGCAATGACGTATTTTCTACAACAAAAGATGCAAATGCTGAAACTTTTGCAGCTACCCACCGAATTTGGGTTTGGAAACACATATCCTATGATAAAAACGCACATAACCAAACTTAGGAGTGACATCGGGATTGCAGTGTTCGACCAGGACTAGACTAGTGCAAAGCCAACTTCCATGGGCGTCGGGATCAGAAGCGTGGTGGTATGTTAGGGTCCATTTAGTCCCACGTCAATTATATGGGTGACTTGATGTGGGCTTGTAAGAGATTTAGGTTCCATCACTCTGCAAGATAGATTTTAGGGGTGAGTTCTCCTAGGTCTCGTACATTGTCAGCTATTTGGATCATTGGGTTTCGGAATGCGTGCACAGATCCAAGGGTTGTCATCTTTTGGGTCCATTCAATATGTTTTCACACATGGTTGCAGTCTAAGGTAAACCCAGAGATGTCAAATCTGCCATGCACCCAACACTGTGCATAAACATGTTTCACTGTCACTGTTACCATCACTCTAGCAAATATCAAAATACAAATAAGTGAGGGTACAAGCAGATATAAGAAATATGAGAATACAAGTAACACAGTATAGAGAAGAGATTTCCAACAGCAACTATAATTATGTTCCAACAGAAGAAAGAAAAATACATCGGATAAACTGGAATAAGAACAACGAGTCACTAAAAACATAAGAGTCAACTGAACAGTACAAAGGCATTCAGCCTCCAAAATGAAATACATCTCTCTGAAACAAAATATCCATAAACAGTCTAATGTAGAGCACTAACTAGCTACCTATAAATGACGGTAAACTACACTGAGTCTCTGTCAACCTGCGACTCTTTGAATCTTTAACCCGCTACCTGAAAAAGATGGAATCAACAAGCGTCGGAACGCTAGCAAGAACATCTCCTCCGCCCCCAGGGGAAGGGGTAAGGTGTATTAAAATACTAAACATAACACGTATTTGTATAAACCATATGCCCCTACACTAAGAGGAGTTAAGATTTAGAAACCCACAACACGAGATGAATACATCGAGCGAATAATCCAAACAAGGAAACCCTCATATATATACCATGTATCTCAAATTGTGAATCGCTAAATATCAACTCCAACCTATGAACAAGTAATACAGAAAATACATCATCAACATCTCATCCAGGATATGTCATACATGTCAATCACAATATCTCACACTACCCTCGGGTAGGTGGCATAGAAACGAGTATAAAATCCTCTAAAATCCTCGTCAAAAGTGTGTACCGTCACATATGAATGTCATAATATTGGATTACGTCCACAAACAGAACTCGTCTGAGTCCTAGGTGTCCCAAAGATATAGAGTGTAGTCGTCCGCAGTATCATGCGACTCACGGACTAACGCACTCGGAGTGCATTCGCCCACAATATCATGCGGTGCACGGACTTGCGCACTCAACCAACTAAACAAAGATGCATCACGGAGTGTAGTCACCTGCTAAATCTCATGCGGTGCACGGACTAACGCACTCAGAGTGTAGTCGTATGCTTTCTCTTGCGGTGTACGGACTAACGCACTCAAGCATCCAAAACTACCGTAAGCCGAAATAATCATCACTCCCTATCGTGTCAAACGCAAAACATTAGACTACGCGCTTCCAAAAGCTCGTGCGTGCTCAAACCCAAAACATGCACTCTCATGGTCACACACGTGTATCAATAGATGGCTCGTTCTTCGTGTTCAAATGCGTGACAGATCATCATAGGCAAAAGTAGCAGATCAGTCGACTGCCCTTAGGAATCAGTCGACTGACACTTGATCAGTCGACTGATTGTTCATTAGTCAACCGAACACAAGCCTCGATCGGTCGATCGATACATATGTCGGTCGACCGACAAGAGAGGAACCCCAGTTTCTGCAGGCCAATCGGTCGACTAATTCCTATATCAGTCGACCGACCAGAGGGAAAATTCCCAGATTCTGAGGATCGATCGGTCGACTGATTCATATATCAGTCCACTGACCAGAACACTAAAAAAACACCAAATTTCTAAGGTTAATTATTTTTTCTCAAAAACTCGTTAATTATTAACATGAGGTGTGAAATATGATTCAAATATTTCATTTACTTAAGTGGGATCTCGGCCAAACAAGTGTTCATCAATCAAAACATGGATTTAGGGATCAAATTCCCTAAACATCACTAATCAGTTTCAACTTAATTAATTAGGATTCTAATCTTAATTAATTCGTCAATTAGCAAATAATTAGGTCTCTAATCATCAAGATCGTGTCTTTTCATTGTTTACGGATTAGATCTAAAGTTTTATTCACCGACTTTAGGGTTTAGATCCATTAAAACGAAAACCTAAGGGGATGGGTTTGGAAAGAGATAAACTTGTCTTTTAAATTCGTGTTGATCTGTCAAACGTAGAAGAATCTCGACCCTTCTTTCCAAAAGCCGTAGATCTCGCCCTCCTCCTGAATTTTGCTTCTCAAAGCTTTCACAAAATCCGAAAGAAGATTTTTATGGTTTTAGAGGGGTTGGCTGTTGCTCAAACGTGAGAGATGAAGAAGAGGAAGAAAGAAAGAAAATTTTATATATATATATATATATAGGATCAACCAGACCCGACCTGACCCAACCCGAAACCCAACTCCTGAAGAGCTATCGGTCGATCGATCCTTCTGATCAGTCGACCGACCAGAACATGGATCGAAAAATTACAGGCTTATATATATATTCACATATATATGTATACAACCGTAAAACAATTCATTTATTATCATATAACAATATCTTTCAAATTTTCAGGGTTTTACATTCACCCCTCCTTAAAGAGAATTCCGTCCCCAAAATTCAGCAATTCATTATAAATCACAAGGTATGTGCCACACAAGTAATGTTTACACTTAACATCTAGGATGTGAATACTCTCACTTAACTCTAATTTAACAGAACTAGTACGTCGAGTGAAAAATCCAAACAATGAACCCTCCATGTATATACTATATGTTCTGAATGATTAGGTGTTAAGTGTTAATACTCACAGTCCAGCACGAAGTGTAAATGCAACTATATAGATAACATAATTATCATCAATATTATATCTAACAACATACATGCTCGAATAAATGTGGATAATCGCGACGGATATCTTCTTCGCGCCCCCAGGAAGCTTCCTCTGTTCCACTGGACTTAACTAATGGAATTACATTATTCCGGAGTTTCTTGTTCTCCCTGGAAAGAATGCAAACTTGAGTCTCACTTGTAGGCAAATCCGCCTGAAGCTCTAATTCTGGCATATTAATTTATCAAACACTCTGTTGTTCTTCATCTCGTAAGTGCTTCTTGAGCATCGAGATATGAAAGATATCATGCACACCCGACATCGATGCGGGAAGGACTAGTCGGTACGAGACAGTTCCAACATGATCTACAATCCTGAATGGACCAATATATCTTGGGCCGAACTTTCCTTGTCTACCAAATTGTTTGACGCATTTGTGGACGTACTCTTCTGTCGACTCTAGGCCGCAAGAATACGCCTAGGGCTCAGTCGAGTACTGTTTGTGGACGTAATCCAACATTGTGGTATTTGTATGTGACGATACACACTTTTCACGAGGATTTCATAGGGTTGTATATTTGTCTCCGTGCCACTACCCGAGGGTAGTGTGAGATACTGTGATTGACATGCATGACATGTGCTGGATGAGATGTTGATGTATTTCTGTATTACTTGTTCATAGGATTTTGAGTTGATATTTAGCGACTCATAATTTGGGATACATGGTGTATATATATGAGGGTTTCTTTATTTGGATTATTCGCTCGATATACTCATCTCGTGTTGTGGGTTTCTAAATCTTAACTCCTCTTAGCACAGAGTGTATGATTTATATATTACGTGCTATGGCTAATATTTTATATGTTTTAACTCCTTCCCCCTGCGAGCGGTAGAGATGTTCTTGCTAACGTTCTGACGCTCGTTGATTCCATCTTTTTCAGGTAGCGGGTCAGGGATCCGAAAAAGCCGCAGATTGACGGAGACTCGACATAGTTTACCATCATTTATAGGTAGCTAGTTAGTGCTCCACAATAGACTATTTATGATTTTAATTTTTTAGAGATGTATTTCATTTTGGAGACTGAGTGCCTATGTACTGTTCAGTTGACTCTTATGTCTTAGAAACTCATTATTCTTATTTTAGTTTATCAGATGTATTTTTTATTTTTCCTGTTGGGACATAATTACAGCTACTGTTGGATATATCTTCTCTACATTATTTTCATTGTAGTCTCATCTTTATTATATCTGTTTGTACCCTCACTTCTTTGTATTTGACATTTACTAGAGTGATATTAATGGTGACAGTGAAACGTGTTTATGCACAGTGTTAGGTGCATGACAGGTTGGTTTGACGAAGAGACCGAATTGTACGATATTTATCACTGAGTGGTCCTAATAATATTGGGTAAGCATCTTGTAAATCTCTGAGTGGTCCTAATAATATTAGGTAAGCATCTTATAAATCTTTATCACAACTTATACCCAGGTAGGCCTATCCAAAAAACTCGTCGGCCCGGG